TTCGAGTATTGTATGGAAAGTGCCACATGTTCAATTGTCAGATGCTTATAAATTATACATGTTTAAAATAATAAACAAACAAACTCCGTTATTAATACCGTTCAGGAGTTGGGATATCTATTATAATCCAGTAGTTCCACAAAGTACTTCATTTATATGGAATGTGAAATTAGCAGTTGAAACTGAACGCCCTCGCTATATTATTCTCGCATTTAAAAATAAAAATAAATATGTTCACTGCGATTTAAACGACGTGAAAGTATATCTGAATTCTGAAGTTTATCCATATGATTTATTAAATCAAAACTTTAGTATGAATAGATATGGACTATTATATGACATGTATATTAAATTTCAAAAAAGTTATTATGGATTTGAAGCGCAACCATTATTGTCGATAGAGGCTTTTAAAGATGATGCCCCCCTCATTGTTTTAGATGTGACACATCAGAATGAAACAGTGAAAAGCGGACCTATTGATATACGAATTGATGTTAAGACATTAACAAATATCCCCGAAAAAACATCAGCATACTGCCTAATAATTCATGATAAATTATTCGAATATACACCACTAACAAACGAAGTTCGAAAAATATTTTAAATGCATGCATATACTTAATTTCTCTCGTTCTGAGTAAGAGAACAACAACAACAACAACAAGTCACAGATTACAGATTACTGTAAACAAAGTATAAAAACGAGCTTGAAAAATAATATGCATTGTATATACATATACGTAAGACGCTTTCAACAGAGCTTCGAGAAAACATGACGCTTTCAACAGAGCTTCGAGAAAACATTACATACATATATATTTTCTAGTTTTCTTGTTTACACGAACATGATGTAGAAATTAGTAATAAATCAGATTCGAAACTAGAAACTATAATTCAGAAGCTGAAAAAATGTTACAAATTATAATCCTTGCAACTGTTTTGCTATTTAATGCACAGTCAGGAAATTGCAAACCGACAACTATAAAAACTATACAATTTAATTATACCTTGCCAAACAACGATGTTATAAAAATAGACCTCACATTCGAGTTTCTCAATAAGGAATCAAAAACGGATGTTGAACTGTTTGATTTGACAACGATGTCTTCCCCAACAACAACAACAACAGCAAAAACAACTACAACTACATCAACGATACTGGAAACGAGGTCAAAAAAAGCGGAGGTAACGATGTTGTTAAAGACAACAATACATTATTTTTTTTAATTACTAAAAAAAAAAAAAAAAAATATAAAAATCTACAGAGCCATCGCCACCACCACAACAACCGACAACAGAAAGCTCAATAGAAGAAATTTACAGTGACAGTTATGAGCAATTTACTAGAGAGGATGCGGTGAAATCTTTTCAGGAGGCCTTAATAGAAAAAGAACAATATATCGGAGGAATAATAAACGCTACTACCCCATTTTATAGACATTTTAACCTTAAATATAAAGATACGGCTATCTCAATTCGTTGCTTATATGAAAGTAATTATGAAAAGAAGATTCTAACATTACATTGCACTCAATTTTATGAAACAAAAATAATTGAACGGATATTAGACAACGGGGAAATCGAACAAGTAGAAGTTAGAAAAAACCCCGATAGCTTGGAAAATGTCATCATTAATGATGACATTAATAACTACACTCAAATGTTACATATGAAAATCAATTGAGCAATGTGGAGCTCAATAAATAATTGACACTTTAATTTTTGTAATCATATTTTATGTACTCCTATATTTCAAATATATTTTATGTACTCCTATATTTCAAATATATTTTATGTACTCCTATATTTCAAATACAAATTATGTACTCCTATATTTCAAATAAAAATTATAATCGCACATATTGTATGTAAAAAAACAACTATATGTATGTTCACTATATTTCAAATAAAAAATAAATAAAATGATGAGCGCACATACAATGTATTTTTTAATCACAATTCAAAGGGGGTCAAACAACTATTGCGGTTATATGTAGGTATACATATTTTACTTTATCGCAATTCTGTAACATTACTATACACATACATATGTAAATTTGTACATGTGTGTGCCTTATTCAAGAGATCAAACAGCTATTGCGTTTCAAATAAATACAAGTCGCATACAATGTATACCTATTTTGTTTTTACCTTTTTTTCCATACATATGTATATACGCACCAGTATAAATATACCACAGGAATAATTCTGTAAAACTAGTTGTTAAGAGAGCATCGAAGAAAAATGAACAACAAGGTGTTTTTACTAAAAGTAGTACTTCTCGTACTCGTGTGTTTTAAAGTAACAAAAATTGATTCTACAAAAGAGACGAACCGGCGACAATTTGAACGTGAAACAACATTTAGATATGAACCATTGCCAGCAACGTTCCCCTCAGTCTCTGACGCGGTGGAAAATTTTCGCCGTCATCTAATAAGGATGGAGAAAAATATTGGCGGAGTGATTGAGTCACCGAACGTATATGCAAGACACTTTAAAATAAAATATTTGAGAGGATTGATAGATATTAATTGTCGATATTACAGTGATTTTATGAACAAAATATTAAGAATTTACTGCGATATGCCAAAAACTAATCAACTCCGGGAAACAAGTTTTCTATATGAACGAGATTTTAATGATGAAAATGAATCAGATGATGGAGTACAGCCAGTTGTCAGAAGTCAGTCAGATAATGGAGTACAGTCAATTTTCAGAAGTCAGTCAGAACCAAACATTGGAACATACGACATCAATGATTATGTGCAAGTCTTACACATGGATATCCAATAGAATATAACAAGAAGAAAAAGTCAAACAAAAACAAAACAAAAAAAAAAAAAGTTCAACACGAAAATATGAGCATTTTAAAAAAAATTATAGATTTCATACGAGAATATTTTAACATTATAACGCCTGAGGACAAGGAAAAACTTTTAAATATTCAAACACGATTGGAACATATTAAAAATTTAAATTTTATCTTTAATAAATTTGAAACGTCTAATAATGGAAATGATCTAGTAGACTATGAGAAATATGAAGAAGAAGAAGAACAACAACAACAACAACATGCCAAGTACATTCAACAAAAATTAATTGATGAACATGACGCTTTACAAATTATGACTTCTTATAAAATTTTGTAAGTAGTACATACATTCAGTATATTTAAAAAAAATTATACAATTTTTCTTTTTTTGTTCAAGATCGAAACCGTCATCATCATCATCTGAATAGCAAGATTACTGCGCAAAAAAGATTTTGCTGGCACACCACTTTGTTGCAAAGGCGGTCTCTCGTGGGAATTGATAATACACTTTGTTGCGAAGGCGGTCTCTCGTCGGAATTGATAACACACTTTGTTGCGAAGGCGGTCTCTCGTCGGCACTTTGTATAAATAAAATTTTCAATAATTCAATACTTTGTTGCAAAAAAACAGGACGTTGTGGTTTTTTTTTATTGACATTGGAAAATTTTCCATTTGCTGGACAAATGCATGTTGATAATAACATGTGCACATAAATTTAATGCGCAAAACAAAGTTGATAACATACTTTGTTGCGAGGACAAGCTGACACGCTGTGACAGAATGTGAGACCCGCATAAGGAAATTGCCAACTAGCAAGACCGTCGTCTCTCGTGGGAATTTTGATAACTCACTTTGTATTAATTGTGTATTAATAATATCTTGGTGTATCGACAAAAAAAAATTGCCCATTTGCAGAAAAAAACTTTATGCATGTCGACAAAAAGTTCACATACATATAAAAACAGGAATGGCGATAATTTAAACAAAGCGGCCAAGCGGCATAGGGAGTAGTATAAAAAGCGACCTACATTTCCAGAACACATTTTAGTTTCTTTGAAACTTTCAAGCATTTTTAAGTTTTTACAAAAAGAAAAGCAGCAAAAAAAAAAAAAAAAAAAACATGATATTTTTCATGTTGTTTTTATTATCAGCATGTGGTGTCTTTATACAGGCTGACAAAACCCCAACAACAACAACAAAGATGACAACAACAACAACAACAACAGAAATGGTAGAAGAAGCAAGGGAAGCAACAGAAGCCACAATATCAGAAATGCTAGGAGAACCAACTGAAGATCCAGAAACAGCATCAGCACCAGAAGAGATAGCAGAAACAACAAAAACAACTACAACTACAACTACAACAACAGAAAAATCATCATCGAATATTAAAGACTACGTAGATAATTATATAGATGATCTTAATATTGCTAAAACTAATAACTCGTTAAATACTACTTTCCTATACGTGTGGTTTGCGGTAATGTTAATAATGGCTATGTTGATTGTTTTCAGTCTTGTATTGCAGATATTTAGAATTTCAATTCTTTTATATATTGATTATACTAAATTTAATAGAGATGACCACTCATCCACTGAAATGTAAAATATTAATATCTATATACGTATATTTCCATTCTTTAATAAAGCTAACCAGCTATCCACTGAAACGTAAAATATTAATATCTATATACGTAACTATCAATCAATAAATAATCATATTTAATATTATGATGAAATAATGTTTTTATTTTGGGTTTTTATATAAAGGAGGTATGCGAAATCTTGCGAAATCTTTTATATATATATGTACAACAAAAAAAGGCAAAGGCAAGACGATAATTTTCTTTCACACGCTCAGTAGTACGTTGAGGGTGGTTTTTTTTCTTTTTTTTAAGATAACAAGTTCGGACTCATATAAATAGAGCCCCAAAGTTGGATACCCACTTCAAAACGAAGTCGAGAGCTAAAACGTTGAGTACTTTTATTAGTTTTTTCCGTCACCATTGGTGTAATGCGAATAATTTCACGTTGTATTAAAAAACATAACTTGAGATCATTGGTATTATACAAATGGATAGAGAATAAGACCAACAATTAAAATCTACGTGTGTGTATGCGATCAACATTCAAATTTTCCATATCATATTCAGTGATGCTAGCGCTGTCAAAACAAAAACAAAAAAAACACGTATATGTTAATTAACTTCCCACATTTCGATGATACAGTTCAAAATTTGTTTGTTCAACAAAAAACAAAAATTGGATTGTGTCATCTGATATGGTGAAGTAAATCACAACTAAAAAAAGAAAAAATTAAATTAGATAAAAAGTCTAAATAAATAGGACTCGACATTTCTATTTTCAATTCAGTTTAAAAACTAAAGTTCAACGATACCATCCAACTCGGAGAAATAAAACGGTAAAGAAAATGAACGACCAAGATCGGAAGAAAGAACTGCAAGCTCGGAAAAAAGCACTGAAGAAGCTTGTGTTCACTGAGCCTGTAGAGGTTCCTCCTCCTCCTCCTCCAAACAATGCAAACGATGTCAACGTTTGCTTAGGTGCGAATAATTGTCAGTGTATCCGCTGTCGTTGTACTGAAGATATGGAAGACGGACCGGAAATGGAAGAACTCGCCTATAATTATTTATTTCAACGAAACAGAAATAATGAGAAAGAAGACACCCATGTAAATCACAACTGCTGTGGCTAAATGAATACTCTTTTTATTGTTTTTTTGGTTTTGGAAACAATAAAAAAATAACCCAACATTATAATTTCATAATCTTTTTTTATTTACTATGTGAATTTCCCATAGGTCTGAGTGGGTGCAAAATTTAATATTTAAATTTACAAACACTTTGATCTATTGACAGTTTACAAACGAACAACGTAAATATTAACAACATCTTTGTCTTACTTTAACCTTATCTTATAAAAACTTATTTTTCTTTTTTAAAAATTTTATTTAGTCAAAAATGATCAAAAAAGATTCTAACATTGTTGAAGTGACGAAAATGCTCAAAACAGAAATACAAGAATTTTGTGATGAGTTTGAAGGTATAATTCCTGAAGAAGATTTGAGGATCTTGATTGCTATCCGTGACCTGGTTATAGAAGATGCACTTTATATAATACAACATTATCACAATTTGAGGGAACGAATGACAAGACCCCTCGGAACAAACATATACAATCATCAATAAAATAAAAAAATTATTTAAACTGTATACAAATTTAAAAAAATTTTTCTTTGTTAGGAGGTGGGATAAGGGGAGGGCTAAGACAGCCCCAAAGAATCAGGGGCGCACCCCGCCTCTCTCTCTCTCTCTCTCTCTCTCTCTCTCTCTCTCTCTCTCTCTCTCTCTCTCTACAAACACAAATTTCTCACAGTAAACTCACACCCAACTGTCCCCGACCTACATTCACTCACAAATAGAGTGTTATCAGCAAAAAGCCGACAGCAGGCCGGTCACCGACCCACTCCACCGCGCTTAATTCATTATTCAAGGTCAAAACACTTTACACTTTTTATCATCAACAACAACAACAACTCACACGTCCCCACAAATCAATTCCTACAGTGAATAGCTCACTGTGTGTATACACACAGTGAGCTTTCACTGCAACAATGGATTTGACTCATAGTAGTAGTAGGAGTAGTAGCAGTAGTAGTAGTAGTAGTAGCAGTAGTAGTAGCAATAGCAGTAGCAATAGCAGTAGGTAGTTTATGGACATTCCGAAATTTAAATATGCGCGCCAACAACAATTTTTAATATTCCCGCCATCAATTAACCGTCACATTTCAAAACACTCAAAAGCTTTTTCACACACACACACACAAAAAAGCTTTTGAGCTTTTGTTCGAAACTTCGCTAAAAGCTCTTTTGAGCTTTTGAGCTTTCTGAGAGCTTTCGGGTTCGAAACCCCGCTGTTACA